ACCGAATTCTGTCCCCCTCTCTCTCCACAAGCAGTAGGAAGCTCTAGGACCCGGAAAGCTCCACTCGTTTAACCCTGTGTGATCTGGTTCAGAAGAGTCTCCTGGTTACAGGCTCTCTGATTCAAGGCAAGGTCTCATTCAGACCAGTTCAACACTCCCCTTGTTTAAACTAGCCCCTGCCACTGCCATCGAGGAAACCGGAAGGCTAATTTGGAGTGCTTATTCTACAGTTAGTTGCACGGACTTCATAGAAACTCATTCATAAATAAGAATATGCAGATTACAGCCCTACAGGCAAGTATAATTTCTTGCAATTCTACTCTGGTTTCAATTTGCTATCTGTAAGCTATCAGAAATACTGACCCAACTCACATCTCATGTTATGCCATAATGTGGTTTATTTAATACTGGCTTAGTGTCTTGTGTGAACCTAGACAATAGTGGCTTACCTAACAAATCATAGCTAAGCAAATCATGGCTTAACATAATGTATACATCAGACAGTTGCTTAATGACAACAGCTAATTTGGTATCCTGCAGATATTTCAGACCATAATTTACATAGTCTTTTGCCACAGGCTATGCTTTCTGGCGCTGATGGGAACTGAAGTCCAAAAAAATTCTCCAGATGCTTATTTTACAGATCTATACAATCTTGCAAGTTGTGATGCATTGGGAATACTATGTCCAGTTGTTCCCTTCAGTATCAGACAGTTCAAAAATGTGCACGAGAAAAAGCTTTAATGAAAATATGTTCAGGTGCTGGGATTAAAATTAAAATTAAAAAAATAAATTTAATTAAATTCTTTCTACCCCAAGGGAATGTTGGAAAGAAATTAGATAATGGGATGCAGGACTTTGTCCATCTGTCAGCAGGGTAATTCTCTGAAAGCGGAAAGAATGCAAAGAAATTTGGTGTGCTGGCAGAAGCTGGAAAAAAAAAGGTTAAGTTTGGAAATGGGTGAGGAGAAAAACTGCAGAAAATTTCCTGGATGCACCCCTATCAGACAGACTTTGGATAGCAGCACAGCACATTCTAAGGCCCCACCCTCCTAGTCATGTGACCCAGAGGGGACCCTCTGCTGCCTGCCCTGGGCTTCCCAGTACACAGTGCACAAAAGCATTAAAGCACACCGTTTTGTATAACAAGGTAATAAATCCAGCTATGACTTTTGCTGACAAAGGGGTTGGAAATACTTCAAAAGGCTCTCTGCATGCTTTTGCTTTCCTTAAGTTTAAAAAATGGATTGCTAAGAGGGGACATAATGGAGGTTTCTAATGTGCTACACATGGGGGGGGGGAGAAAAAGCAGAATATGTTTCCCACATTCTCTCACAAAACTAGTCATCTCCTGAACAAGATGCAGGGCAAAAGATGTGACTGGCTCCTTGAGGAGGAGATGTTGGACTACTGTGGTGAGCCTTTTATTTGCGTGCTTTGATATGAACTCTGAAAATTAAAGAGCTAAATATAGCTGCAGAAGATGTTCCATTACTATTTTTTTTTTTTAATTCTCTTGTTATTAGGACACCTTCATTTCTCCCTCTTTGTAACAACAAAAGAATGAGAGGACAAACCGGAAAAATGGGGAGAGACACCACTTTTTAGTTAACTGACAGTGCAATTTGAAAGACAGAAAACTTCTGAATTCAGTGGAAGGTATATTTTGGCAAGTTTAGGTTTGCAGTGTTAATTAGCCTAGGTGTTAAAACTGGAGGACTGAAGTTAGCTATTAGATGAAAATATCTGTACACAAAACGCAACTTAGAGCAGTATCTTTATTAAGGCAACTACATTTTTAGTTTGTGCTCTAATAAAAACACTACTATTATACATGGTAGGCAGAAACCCTGCTGATACAGCCGCCTCTCCTCTATTCCCCCCCCCCTTCAAACTGAGAAAATAATGCCTTGTTGAGCATCTGCCTGTTTGCTACGGTAAAGAAGCCTGTTCAGGAGGGAGGGAATACTGGGGACGTATAAAACTGAGTTTTGCCGCCGCCCCCTTCCCCGCAATACATATATAGCAATGCAAGTTACAGCCACAAATCTTTTCTGTGCTATATGGGGTTTCCTTCACAGAGCTGAGCCCGAACAACCTTGAAAGAACCGCCTGCGGCTTCTTGCAGCAGAAGCCCAAGTCTGATCTGGGCTGGGGTTACTGCACGCGTTCACACGTTCTTCTCGCAGAACTCACGGGCAGATAACCTCGTTCGAAACCAACCCTTCCCGCGAGCCGTGGTGTTTTCCCCGGGAAAGCCGTTTTTCAAACCTTGCAAGGAAGCCCCTTCATCTGATTTGGCTTTAATTGCTGCTTGGAAAGAAACCAGCCCTACCGATTTGAAACACGCCAAGAGTTAAACCGAGTGTGAACTCCCAGCCCTAGAGAGGCTCAGGAAGCTGGGCATGAGCGAGAAGGGGATGCTTTAGTCTAGGACACCCTTCCTGCTCCTCCTCTTCCCAGGATCAAAACTTGGGATTTGATTTTAATAAGATGGGTCTCTCCGGGGTTGCAGATCGGCTGCAGCTGGGCTTTGTTGGAAGGAAGCAGTGAGTGGAAAGGTGGAAAGCGGGGGGCGGTGAGTAGGTGAACAGAAATGGGAAGTCGTGCTGCAAAGATCGAGGGGAGAAACATCTGGAGGGGGTAAAAGGCTGGTGGACGAAGTGGAAAATTCAGGGGATTTTTGCACGGCTTTATAACCCGGTCTCCTCTGGCGATCTGGTGCCGTCGTAGCTTGTACCGGACTCTGTTTACAGTCGTACTGATTGATTGATCGACCGTATCTAGTGGGCCAAAATATTTCACAGCCATCGCTTTCCCAATTAAAATCTCTACCACCGTATTTTCAGTGCCTGCTTTTTTTTTTTAAGTAAGGAACTTTGCATCATTTAAGAATTTAGATTCTCCTCTTTTTGTTGTTTATTCATGTTGATAATTATAATTCCAGTCAGAACAGATGACTCTGTTAATTCTTGCCCTAGCCCTTGGAAATGGATCACAAGTTGGTGCATAAGGTACCCTATCTGCAAGTTAGCTTCTGGCAACAGAACTTCTGGCATCATTTGTGGAACTAATTTTATTTATTGCAATTTGTAGTTCATGGAGTGTTTTAATGATGGTTTGTCAAACACACCATAATGGCCTGGTTTATGCATAACTCTCAGCCATAAGTATGGGTTTATAAGCCACAGTGGGTGATTTGCTCATCAGCTAAGTCAAAACTCTAAATAAGCCATCCTGTGACAGCTTAGTGTGTAGTTATACCTTAGTTAACATCTTAGTTAGATGCTTGTGTACACGTGGTTTGAACAATTATAAGTTATATAAGGTCTCTGGAAGTTTTTGGGGAGTTCATATAAGTTCCTTTGTGGCAGGAAGACACAACTTCCTTCAGTTTGAGGACCACAATAACCCTTGTGAGTCATGCTGAGTCTACATTCTATAAGCAGACAGGATAGGACCCATTTTGCAGCCAATTCAGTCATTTTAAGGGGTGAAATGGGTTTCTTTAACCTCTTCGAGGCTCAAAGCAAACATTGGCTCCTTAACACACCCACCCACCCCATAATATCCCAGAGAAAAAAGGCTGATAATTTGGGCTCTGTCCACTCTGGGAGTTGCAGAAAGCAGCTTTTTGCTCCTTTGGTTTACAAGATCACTCCATGGTGTCATTTCGGGGTTGTGGGGGGATGATAGTTTGCCCACTGGTACCAGTTATCTTCTTGAAAAGCAAAGAGCAGAATGTTGGTTTTGTTCTTGAGTATACTCTCTATTCGCTTTGAGAAACAGTGAGCCCGGTAGGCTAGGCCACAGCTCTAGCTGTGCACTCAGACATGCTCAAGAACCTTACAAGGTTCCTCATCAAACAGATCAGTGTAGAATGAATGGCCAAAGATAAATAGTCTTTAAGTCACTTCTCTTTGTGAAAATACCCTGCCTCCTCCTTTTTTGTGGGTTACAAAGCAGATAATTCTAAAATAGTGTTAAGCTTGCAGTTGTTTTTCAGTGTAGTTGCTTTTGGGAATAAACTACTTTTCCTGGGCTGGTGTCTACCCATTCTTCTTCTAATCTGGCTACAAGTTGGAGTTTGAAAATTTTTTGCCTGGCAAACTAAGGTTAACCTTAATTATAATGAATCTGAAGGCAGTTTCAAATAATTATTTTACAAAATTGGTTTGTCTCAGCAAACCATGATTAAAATGAATTGCTATTTAGAGTAAAGCTATAATCCTATACGGTGAAATTCACTGAAATAGGAAAAAACAACTGGGCATGGAGCACTCAAAAATAGGATTTTTAGTAATGTCAGGAAATAGTTATAGTTTGAACTTTTTTTCCTGCTTTTTTCTCTCTTTATTCAGGAACAGGCATACTTTCTTGGCTGAGAACTTCTTGGCTTCAGATTTAACTGCTTTGTAAGCTACAACTTCTGGGTTAATGAGAAGATATCTTCATCCAGTTTCCAAAGTGGGAGCTGTGAGGTGGTATGAGGTCTTTCTTTCATCTATTTGAGATACCACACATGGATTTGGAGAGAGCAGGCTTGATTTTTTTTGTTGAGAGAAGTTCAGTCCCTTAGCCTCCAGGTGGGTAGAGGTGGACTTCCTTCTGAGGGATCCAAATCTATGTGACTTTTTTTTTTCAAGATGGAAAAAGAGGCCCAAGAAAGGCCTGGGTCAGGAGAAGGGCCTGTGGGACCAGGAAGAGACACTATTTCAGTACACTCTGGCGGTGCTCGAGATCTGTTCCAGTGGGCAATACCAACACAGGAAGGGATTTCCCAGTGCCTCGAAGGCCAATGGCAAGAGTACTTGAAAACAGTCCCATATCCAACCTCAGGATGGGGAGTCTCACAGTTGCCAGATCTGACCTTGTGGGATGACCTGGCTACCCTTGACCGTGTGGTTGGTGCCTGCCCGTGGTCTTGGGAAAGGGTGAGCCGCTTCCTGCCCACACTTAGGGCTGAAGCCCAGCAAGTCTTAAGTAATCTGAATGCTAGAGACAAAGGGGACCATAGGAGGATTAAAACTACTGCCGGGAGCAACAATTCAAGTACTGCTGAGACCCAGCGCCAGCGCTTCCGCCATTTCCGTTATCAGGAGGCCGAGGGACCCCGTGAGGCCTGTAGCCAGTTGCGGGAACTCTGCCACCGCTGGTTGGAACCAGAGAGCCGTACAAAGGAGCAGATCCTGGAGCTGCTGATTCTGGAGCAGTTTCTGGCAGTTCTGCCAAAGAGAATTCAGAGCCAGGTCCGAGAACGTGGTCCTGAGACCTGTGCTCAAGCCGTTGCCTTGGCAGAGGGGTTCCTCTTGCGCCAGCAGGAGAATTTGCAAAGTGAGCCCCAGGTGAGGAGATGGATTGCAGAAGTTACATAGAAAACAGTCAGTAGTTTATACTTCAGTGAGACCAAAATACCAATTATGTTGCATAAAAAACCAACACATGCCAGCAGCATAAATATACATATCTTTCAGTTTATCATGGCTGAGTTCACATAACAAGTTAAACCTTAAATCTAGATTAACAATATAACATTGCTGAGTTCATGTAAGCTTATGCCCAAACAAACCTTATGATGACTTAATGAATGTTAAGGCAGTGGTTAGGGTCCCAGAATACACGAAGCTTGTGAACCTTACCCATATCTAGTGCCTTGTTTCAAACTAAAAATGATTCTCTGACAGTTATGTGGCAGTTATTTATCCAGCTCAGAGTGTTCACATGAAAAGACACAGCTGTCCCCCCCATATTAGTCCAGTGAATCATGTTATACAATGTGTAGGGCATTTTGTATAGCAGGCTGTTCAGTCATGTTCAGACTATGGGGTTGCTGAGAGTCATTCACCAAAGGTTGAAGGTTGAATCCTAGCAAAGATGTGATTTTTGACACCCAACTGTTCATGGCCAAAAATATATATATATATATAAGTCTCCTGGGATTGGAGAGCAGGTAGGCTGCATATATCTCACAAATTATCCTTACTTGGCATTGACTCTGGGGCCCTGTGGTGGTGCCCATGTTATCAGTGTGTAATGGTATGTGGGAAAGACCTTGGGAGATGGGGCAAAGAGATGCTGCCTAGGAAACAGATAAGAAAGAGCATAGCCTGCAGCTGGATAGTGGGCAGGGCAAGAGGCTCAGAAGGGACCCTCCCTAGTTTCTTGGGCTGTAAAGGAGACAGCGGGAGAATTGTAATTTCAGACTTGCAAGATTGATGTCAGCCTTACCAGGTAAACCAGACAGGAAACACAACCTAATGAGCTAATTCTACTTTATTGTAAGGCTATGTTAACAGAATCTTGCAAGTCTGAAAGTACAATTCTCCCACCATCTCCTTTACAGCCCGAGAAACTAGGGAGGGTCCCTTCTGAGCCTCTTGCCTTGCCCACTATTCAGCTGTGGGCTGTGCTGTCTCTTATCTGACCATTCCCTAAGCAGCATCTCTTCACCCCATCTCCCAAGGTCTTTCCCACATACCATTATAGTGTGCCCAGCAACACTTTTCTTTGTGCCTGCGGTACACCCTGCCCCATCTGATGTTTTATATATTTTAATTTTAAAAATGGGGAAATTGCATCAGTTACAAGCAAAATCTGTATTTCTAACAATGTCTCTTGCACCCAGATACCGCAGAGGCATTCTTAGAAAATGCAGTGACAGATGGTACGGCCCAGAAGTTGGTTTGGAAGTATACTTGAGGCCCAAGCAAGAGAGAAGTATAGACTGAGTTGGGTCGAAACCATTCTGGGAAGCTAGAGGGGATGAGGGGAAGCAGTCCCTCCATACTGCTTCTAGTGTAATTAGCCATGCATACCATACCTGTTTTCTCAGAATGCCTATCACGTATTTTCAAAATTCCAAATGTCCCCACAGGTCCAGAAAGTTACAAACATTTGGCCTAGCCTTGCAGTCTAAACATGCAGGGTTTTCAGGCATCAGAGTGGGCAACTTGTTGGCACAAGCAGCTCTGGAGCCTCTTATTGTGGCCTCTGGTGCCAAGATAGCAGCAACAAATTCCAGCTCATTCTTTTGAAAAGGGGGGAAAGCTAAAAAAATAAAGTGTGCTAAGACCCTAGTAGGAATGTAGTACAATAGGTGCCCGTCGGGGTGGGCATCTATTACACTATGTAAATATATATCCTCAAAAAGTAGGAAGTGGGTGAAATCCTAACTCTTCTGAAATCATTGTGTTACTTTCCTTGGCCTTGTGACCATCAGTTGACCTCCTCCCCGCCAAAAAAGAAAAACTTTATTCTGTGCTTTGGCCAAATATGTAGAACTTAGGGGTAGTGCCAATGGGTTTGCAGGTGATGGTCCCCTCCTTTCTGCTTATTTACTAAATGTTCAGAAACATCTAAACAATGTTCTATATAGTAGCTAATGTTTTAGTGCATTACTTCTTATCTGCAGCTGTTTTCATCCCTGTTTTTGGCTTTATCCATTGGCATGATGTCATTTTGCTAAAAATTGTTTTTGGAAAAAGTAGGGGCTTGGATATTAACTTGCAGTGTCATTTCAGGAGTCTGACTCATTTCAGGAGGCAGCTATGAACCTCTCTGAAGGCCAGCAGGCTGCGTCAGATGCCAGACAAAGACTTCTTGCCAAGGAAGTCAGGAAACACGATAATGGAAAGGCAAGCTTGTTAGGTAAGCCTTTAATTTGCAAGTGGTGATAGTCCTGCTCTATTCAGCACAGTCTAAGGTCACGTGCTCAGGCCAATGTCTCATTCTAGATTGCAGTATTCTGAAAAGGAATGTGGAAATGCTCAAACTGATGCCAGGAAAATTTTGAAGATCCTTGGCTGATCATGAAAAGCCAAGATGAATTAGACCTAATTAGTACTTGAACAGGAAACCATCTGGAAATCCTGGGGTTATGAGATAGACTGTGAAGGCAAAACTTTTCCAGTAGAAGAGAGTGGCAAACCACCCCCATATTGGGACCTGGCTTAGAACAGGTGGTAGACCTGTAGTGGGGTGTTTGTATAATTGATTGTTGCTTTTCTCCAGGCTCTTTTGGATGATGTATTTTGTGTTTTATTGTTGCATTTTGTAAGGCACCTGGAGTTACACAGATTGGGGCATCCTCTCAATCAATCTAATAAATATCTAATAAATATTGTTGCCAAGAACACTGTATGGACATGTCCATCCTCAAGCCTTGAGCCTAAGAGATTTTACCTTATGAAGATGCTACACTTGAAAAAGGTTAATTCAGTTGTGTTATAAGAGTAAAGATTCCTCCAGCAGCAACTTTTAAGAACACGCAAATGGATTTTGGTATGCTCTGGGGAAGTTCTGATTACGATGTGCAGACTGAACTTTAATCACTGTTAGCACAAGTATTTCTTCTCATTTCAACTCCTGGGGCTTAGGGGCTGCTGCAGGTGACAATGAGAATGACAGCACAGGATGCCCTAGCCACTATTTATCTTAAGAGTCAGTGGTGGTTTACCTCTAAGAGCACATCAGTCATTTGTGGTAAAACATTTCAAGTATGACATTTTGTAAAATGTCCCACTTCTAGTGTGAAACAAATGCTGTTAGCATAAAACACATTATTTCTAATGTTTTAGAGGTATTTTGAACTCAAAATAGAGATGTTCCACCACAAGGTGTTCTAAGATGTTCAAAGCAGCCCGCTTCACTCTTGAGGTGTCCCTTTTGCACTTTGGATAGGCCATTCTGCACAATTTCACTCTCAAAACATTTCAAAACTACGTTTTACAAACTCCTAGCTATATTTCAAAAGAAGAAGATTTCTACAGCAAAATTAGGAATTGCAACCTGTGAAACCCTTTTTTTGGTGACTCCTGGAACCCTTTGACTGCACTGCTGAATTTTGGTTTCTGGGTTGGAGCAAAAACATCCACAGATAAGCCTGAAATAGAAAAACAAAGCTGAAATCCCAGCCCACGCTATCAACGTGATATAAGGTAAGGTTAAGTTTGAGTCAAACTTGATATCCAGTGACTTCATGGACATAGTTCCGTATTCTTAGCAATGATACAGGATGGGGTTTGCACTGCTTTTTTACAGGACTTTTTTCTGTCTAGCCTATGTCTAGGGATTTCTTGATTTCCCATCCAGGAACGAATGCATCCTGATCCATTGTAGGATCAGCTAAGGTCAGCTAGATGCTGCCAACCAGCTGTGCATAAACATGAGACAAACCTGCCCATTATACCCTCCTCTCCTGCCAACTACAGCCTGTGGTCCTCCGCCTCCCGCAAAATACCAAGTTGTGGTTCCTAGCCACCAACAGGTTGCCATTCTCTGCTGTACAACATTATCTCTGGAAGTTTTCTAAACAATTAATTTAGAATAAACCACTGGTTCCTATGTTGCAGAGGTATGAAATATCTGTTGCTGGTAGAAAAGAACTTTTAACAGATTGGGATATCTTTTCACTGTTTTCAAGATCTTGATCATATCAGTGCATTAAGTAACAGTTCAACCTCTGAATTTTTTTTCCCACACCATCTTATAGGTTCCAAAGTCACAAACAGAGGAGCAGAGGCCATTCAGAATCAAGAGGTCAGAGAGGAGGGGACACATGATGCTTTTGGGGGGACTGTCAAGAAGGAGAAACCCTACATCTGTATCGACTGTGGGAAATGTTTTGCGAGGCCATCAGACTTGGCAAAACATGACAATATTCACACAGGTGCCAAACCTTTTCGCTGCATGGAATGTGGGACAAGATTTAGTCAGTTGTCCCACCTGACTAGACATCAGAGAATTCACACAGGGGAAAAACCACACATCTGCAGTGAATGTGGTGGATCATTTGCCCAGAGAGCATCGCTGGTTAGTCATCAGAGAGTCCACTCCGGAGAACAGCCTTATCACTGTAATCATTGCCAACAGTGCTTCAGCCACCAGTCAGCACTTAAAGTGCATGAACGTATCCATACGGGCCAGAAACCTTATATCTGCCTGGAATGTGGGAAAAGGTTTGTTTCTTCTTCCACACTCAAAATACACAAGCGGATCCATACAGGAGAGAAGCCGTTTTCCTGTGCTGAGTGTGGGAAACGATTCATCCAACGCTCCAACCTGATTTCGCACCAACGGACACACTCTGGGGAGAAACCTTTTTGCTGTGCAGTGTGTGGAAGAAGATTCAGTTACCCATCGGACCTCACTCGGCATCAGAAAATTCACACAGGAGAAAAACCATTTCCTTGTGATGAGTGTGAGAGGAGATTCACTAGGTTTTCAGATCTCCTTATACATCAGAGAATCCATACTGGGGAGCGTCCATATCGCTGCCTTGAGTGTGGGAGGAGATTCCGCCAGAAGAGTGCATTGGTAACGCACCAGAGAATCCACATGAAAGAGAAGGCAGCAGAAAAAATCAAGCCTGTAGCATCCACACAGTCACAGGAAAATAACGAACTGAAAATCAATGAGACAGAAGCAAAGGCGTGCATTCCAGAGGAAAGACAGGAGAAAGATGCCGCAGAGACTTAGAAGGAACCAACCTCAGCTTGTCTTCCTGATTCCTGATCCATCATTTTCTCATGATCTAAGGGAGAAAATCTTTAGAGGTCCTGTATTGTTTCCTTGATCACTCCCATACTTCCTCCGGTGCTGATCTTCTGAGGAACATTGCTGGACCTTGTCCCTGGTCTTGAGACTTAGCCTGGAATGTAGTAGAAGCTGGAATATTCTGCCTTGGTTTTACTTCTGACATTTAGCTGTTGTCTGACACTGATTCATTGGGGCATTTGGACAATATTTCTTCATACTGCAATGACTGGAAAAGAAATTCAAGCCCTGATTCCTTGCTTTCTTCCTATTTTCAGTTTGAAAGGATGACAAAAGCAGTAGTAAGAAGAAGGTTTTTTACTCTCCTGATTTGTCAGGTAGGAAAAAGCATCCTGCATAAGACTTCAGGAAAGATCATATTATTGAGGATAATCTACGCCATCATATTTTATAAAATGGAGATGGGAATGGGTCTATAAGAGTTTGTGAAATAGGCATCGCCATTTAATCCAAAATAAAAACCTACAGGAGAGGAGAATATGGAGCTTTTTATGTTTCAGAGGCAGCACAAGAGCTGATCTGGCAAGTGCTGAGGGCAGACATGAGGGCTCTTATTTGAGAACTTCTCAGGGGCTTCTAGTTTGGCTGTTTGTTGGATACAAAGAAGTGAAGGATTTAGACATTAGCTTGATCTACAGGGTAATTCTTATGCTATGAATCAAGGGCAGTGGAAGATTAGGAAATAGGTCATGCAGAATTTTGCACATCTTTTCACCATGTATGTTTCATGTCCTACATTTTGTGAACTTTGTCTTCTAGATCACTGAGGTGATTGATATATGGAAGTAATAGAAGTTGTGAACACTGGTTTTTGGCAGAAAGGATCTGAATTCAAATGCTCTGGAGAACTATGACTTCACTGTGTGGCCTTTAGCACGTTGTGCTCTCAGCCTGAATTGTCCATATATAAATGGAGTATAACAAGGGCTTACTGCATAGGCCTCTAGGACACTAAAAGGCAGTCAATACACTGAAAATACCATAGAAGTATTTCATCATCATTTCAAGTCTGAGGTGTTCGCCATCTTTCCGTAGATGGATAGACTATTGTCAATGATATTGCCCTGATTTGAAATCAGTTGCTGTGCAGTTTAGTGTCTGGATGAATCCTTCCTGAGAAGGAAATCCTGCTGCATTCAGGGGGGTTTACTCTCTAAGGAATATGTTCAAGATTGCTCCCTTAAGTGGATCTTCACATAGCAAAACATCTCTTAAAAATGCAGTCATGCTCAGCCTTTTTGTAGAGTCAGTATATGTCCTCAGCTGGATTTTACTTCTTTCCTCTGTTGCAAATTCTGAAAATAATTGCAAAGTTCCCTCCCTTTTCCTGCCCTCCCTCCATTGGAGAACAGCATTATACTACAGGTGCATTCTTAGCTTTGAGCTATATTCTCTGTGGCATATCATCACCCCTATTTCTTTCTTTCCACTGAGGTACCTTATTTGCCCTCTTTTCTCATTGTGTTTTCTTCTGCTATTTTCTCCTTCCTGGTTCATGGCATATCTATTTTTAAGGGTGTGGGGGGAGAAGAGGAGAATGTTCAGGATAGATAGCACCCTTCACAATCATAGATTTGCTTCTAAACTGCTAAGGTGTTGGCAATGGAGAGCTGCAGTGGTCTTATTTTTTGGCTTAGAATTTCATTATTCTGAGCTATGAATGACAATCACATTTATAATACTGAAGGAAGATCATACCTCATACTGGGCTTTGAGTAAGAAATGGTTTGTAGCACTCATGTGATGGGAAAACTAGGTATTTGGTAAGGCAATACCAGTGTTATCTATGTGCCAGTATGTTTATCTTTTAAATTAGCTGTATCTGCTTTCTGAGCATGTTTGCACTAATGGTCAGTAATATTGAATTCCAGCTCACCATGTGGAGAACATAAAGAATCATACTGAGAACCTAGACCTCACTTGTTCCTTGTTATTGGCTATGCTTGCCTAAGACTGATGAAGGTTGGAGTCCAAAACATCAGAAGACCATAGATTATCTACATTTGGCTCACTCTGTCAAAGAGCTAAATTGGGTTTTGATATACCTGGGCTTAATCATGGATGGCTGACTATAATTTTTAAAGTCTATCCCACACCTGCGCTTCAAATTACAGGGCATATTAATAATTTGTAGGTTAGACAGACTACTATTTGCAAATAAAATTACATTATTTTACATTATATTACTCTGCAATATTGCTTTTCTCTTTGTAGGGATTTATTTCTGTAGATGAGTATTCAGAAATGTGATCTGTCAGTTGTTGCCTAGAGTACAGCCCCAACAAAGGTGGGCAAGCTGTGGCCATCTAGATAACTGGTGAACTACAATTCCCAACATTCCTCATATTAGTCATGATAGTTGGGATTGTTGGAAATTGTAATTCAGCAACAACTCATCCACTCTTGCTCTATCACTTCATTACCTTGCATATATGAACCCAGTCTGAAAGAAATTGGTGCTGTTTGTGTGCTCATGAGAAGCACGTGTAGGAGAAGAACCTGCCCTAACACAGAAATTCTGCTACTGGTTATTCTGACAGTTGTCTCAACACATCTGGAAGCTATGAGACGGGAAGGGAAGTCTGGCTAACAGGGATAGTAATAAGGCAAACTTAAAGACCTGGGGCCTGGTTTCCTTTGATGCAAGGATTACAGCCTCTGCAAATGATACATGAATCTTTTTCAGTTGCGTGCCTTCCTTTTTAATATACGGATTAGTTTGATCCTTTTGTAACTCAAATTGACATGGCAGTCAATTAAATATGTATATTTCACCCTACTATATTACTTCCAGTGAAACTTTCAATGAATGGAATCCAACAAGTTTCAAACATACAGATAATTCTGTATGTATCTACTTAGAGGTAAGACTTATTAGTTGTATGTCAAACAGGTATAGAATTGTAGCCATAGGTGGAAATTCTACCTGGGTGGAAGTATTTGGGAGGGGAAACAAATTGAAAGTACAAAGCATTGGAAGGTGAAAACTGACGTTTAAATGCTTTGGTTTATTGAGAGACTGGCAGTCATAAAAGGCTGAAGAATGTCCAGTTTGCGGATTAACATTATATGGAGATGCTGAGGGGTCTTAATTCATTTCTGTACAACATTTTCCATTATTAAAGTTGGCCATTTGTGTGTTTATGGGATAAGGGCACCTATCATTCCATATATTGAATGTGGCCCTCTCTTTCCTTCATCATATCCTTTTGTACAGCCAGAAAAATGAGTATATGGTATCCTAATTGCATAACTTCATTGTCTACATTAGACTAGGGAAAATGGTATTTCAGGGAGAGAGAAAAGTAAACAAACCAAAAAACCCAACAAGGTCATTGCATGTAACAATAATCACTTAATTTCATTACCAACAATTCAGCCCTACAGAATAGATGGCATTCAGTTGAGAAGCCCTGCTATAAGGTGTAGGCCTCATGAATATGCATAGTAGGAGTTACTGGATTGATCATAGCAGATGTGATCTGGTGTTCTGAACTGATTTGTTAATTTTCTTGCCGTTATATTGTACTTCCACTCTTCTTTTTTATGGGAAAAATTGAAAAGTGGGAGGGAAATACCTGTTGAATTGGAGTTTTGCCAAAAACCCTACCCCTTCTCAACAAACATGTATATACCTCCCACATTTAACATAGGTACCTCTAGCAAAGCTGTGAATTTAGAAGTGAGCATGAACCCTCATACCGTCATGTCCACAGTTGTTTCACAGATTGGATAAATTCCACAGTGGTGGGGAAATTGCTGCTCTCTATTTTAGATATCATATACTGCTAAAAAATTGGTTTGAATTGTTTTGAGCCTTTCTGCTTTTAGATTGTTAACATATCTTATTTAATTCCAACACTGGCAGCTCTGAATTACTTTGTAAAAAAATAAAAGTAGTGTTCATTTATGCAAGTTATTTTTCTGTTTTTGAATTAACCACTTTACCTGAAGTCTCAATGAACTTTTTTTCCTCTGAAAAAAACCCAGTGGGGATTATTATGATGCAAACTGGCATAGAATTGATATCTAAAGTAGTAAAGTTTTCAAAAGGAATGTTAGTCACAATGTTAGGTAACAAAACCAGAGTCCTGGGTGTGCAAAATATAATTCTACCCAATAAGCATGCCTTTTTATGCAATTTCTAGAGCAGACTTTCATATGCAAATCTGTTATGCTAAATCTGTTTAGTTCTTAACAGACTAATCAGGTAATTTAACTTGCCAAGATACTCCTTGCAGTTTTGCAAAAGACACCTAAGAATTTAAGGACTTTTAGTAGCCCAGTGCAGGGTTCATAAAAAATGTATGCTAGACATAACAGTCCTACATAGATTTACTCAAACTAAATTCCTTTGTATTCAGTGGGATTTAATGTCTGCCTGTCTGACTATCTACACATACATAAATACATACACATTTTATATTATTCAGAATCATTGTTAGTTTTCTTTTAGATGGCTGGATGATCAGTGTCTGAGATATTTTCCATCCCTGCCTTCTGCACCTTAAAACGGTGATCAGAATCTATGTTGTGATCAGTGATCAGAAAAAAACAAAGCCTTTTGAAAAATAGATGTGTGCTCAAAGAAGGAGTATAAACTGTTCTGGGAACTTGAATCTAAGGGAAAGGTACCCTGTTTTTTTGAAGAAGGGTTTTTGGGGCCTTTGAAGGAGTGATAGCCCTTCCTAAGATCATTTCTGGATTTTGGCTAATGCCCATTGATATAAGTACTGTTCTTTTAAACAGTGTGTTATATACTTTTGCTTGATGACAGTTACTACACTAATTTGCTTTACACTGAGAAACCTGTAGTTTCATTCTCTTGATCTTGCTCAGTGTGACAGAAATGCCTAAATGCATATCTGAATGCACATACATTTCCTAGTTTATCTATGCAGAGATGGTAGCTCTGAAAAATTGTCTAGACCTGCTAGAAAATAATGTACTCTCCTTTTTCATATCTGGGTCACAAAGATTCTTCCAAATTGGATGTAAATGTTATTTCTGTAAAATGAAGAAAAAATAAAATCTAGCTGTTATTTTGCCTTATTGCTTCCACTGATGTAGGATGGAATTCATATATTTATATTTGACTTCCTGGCTGGGGGTTCTTGAAAGTTGAAGACATCATACTGGGGAAAATTACTCTAGGTCAGTGATTCTCAACCTTTTTGAAGCTGCCGCCCCCCTAAGGAGTAGAAAATTTTTTAACGCCACCCTTTGTGAAAATCCTGTAATTTAGGGTATGGGGAGGTGGGGGGGGGGGAATTACTGAATTATAAAAGGCAAACATTTTAAGTAATTTTTTTTCAATAGACTTACACACCAAATTTGTTCGATTTAACTTGATACTTTTCCCCTGGAAGGTAATTGCATTCCG